AAAAAAAAAAAAAAAAAAAGAAAAACAATTGCATTTCACTCGCAACAGCTTGAAAATCGCTTGCAACATGAGAGAATCAATGTGAAGCGCAGTGGAGTGGAGTGGAGTAGAGTGGAACATCTCCTCCTTGCCGCCCTTCAACCACAACCATCACATCCACATGCCCCACTCTCTGTCGATGTCTTTGTGTGCGACAATGGCGTGTGTCAAATGCCATACAACATGATATCTATCAAATTGCTGGGATTTTAGCTGATGCTGTTTTCCAACAGCAACAGCAAAAGCAACGACAAGAGAAACAGCAACAACAACAGCGACAGAAAACAAAAGCTGCTGCGCTTGGCAATCATTATAATTGTCGCTGTCATCAATCGTTGAATGATTATCCACGCCTCCGGCTGATCCTCGTGGTTGGGACATTGATGCCGCTTGCTCCCGCCATGCTTTACATGCGCTGGCCGATCCGTTGCGAGGTGTCTGCCGCAAACACAAACACACACATCAATGACTGCGATGCTGCCGCACAAACCAATTGTGGCACTGCCAGCAGCTGACACGTGCAGCACAATCAATGATATATACGGCTGGAATGAGGCTTACGAGCAGCTATGCAAATGATACTTGTAGAGTACTTTTTGTGCTGATCAGGATAAAAGGGTTTCAGCTGCTCAAGCCGGGACACTTTCTATCAAAATCAAAATACTTGTATACGAAGCTATACTGGATATAGGTATTTGCAGGTATAAAATTCAAGTCAAGCATGTCCACAAAACACCTTCCGTTAACTGAACTAGTCATGGACATGGAAGGACAGTGACCTTGAGGGTCAGTCACTGACAGAAGAATAGGATGAGAGAGGGATAGGATGTAGTGGGTGGAGGAGGAAGAGAGACTGATTGGAAGGGATCTTGAGGGGAAGGGTGAGGAACGGGATGGTAGTGGGAGAGGAAAGGCGAAAGAAGCTGATGGATAGTGATGAATCCGAGTGGTGAAGAGAGTGGGGGAGAGAAACTAGTTTAATAATTTCTTTATTGGTGGTAGGGGTAAATGGCATTGGATTTGGAAGCTCTAGCTCTAAATGTATAGGAGATAATAAAAAACCTAGTATTCGATAAGGATTTTATTTGATAAAAAAATATCGGGAGAAGTTATCGATTTTTTGAGAAAAACTCGATATGCGCGTGATATACAGGTACGTAGCTCTCTAGTTCTTATATCTTATGAGATCGACGTGTTCATACATACGGACGGACAGGGCCAAACCGACTCAGCTCGTTGCCCTGATCAGGAGTATATATACTTTGTGTGGTCTGCCACGCCTCCTTCCGCCTATTACATACCTTTAAGAAAACCATTATACTCTGATTTCCCATTCGAAATGGGCTCAGGGTATACATATAATAAATTTCATATTAAATTCGTTATTTAAGATTAGATTAGAATTAATTATATATAAGTAGAAATTTTACTCTAAATCGACTCGGCTTGATATATTCATCATACTTGATTTGCATCTCCAATTTTTCATTTAAGTAAAACTTGTTTTTTTTTCGATTTTTTTCTATGCACGAGCTCCTAACTCATAAAGCTGTAATAGCTTTATGTACGCTTCATGTTTTTCTAAACATAGCCGAACAGCTTCCGCTTCCCCCTTAACAGCTATATTTCGCGAATGTTTGTTGTTGGTAATAAAAATATTTGAAATCAAATTCAAAAAAATTGCGAGCATATTAACAAATGCATTATATTTGCTTACACAGATATTGGAGCAGCGCACAACAATGGGGCCAAAATATGCGCATATGTGTGTGCCTGTGTGTGTGTGTGTGTGTCTGTGTTTGTGCTTGTATGTTTTGGCCATAAATCAACATTCTATCGCATTGTATTAAAAACTTAGCATTGGGCACATTTTGCACCCATTTCAATGCCAATCGTTTGACTGCCAGCCTCCCAGATAAAGTTGAAATTATATGAGTATTTTATGGCCAGGGCCCCAGAAGTCAGTCAGTTGTGAATTGAAACGTTGCACGCACCAGGAGAGTGCGAGACCGAGAGCCTGCCGCCACTTCACTAGCCAGAGCAGAGGCAGAGGCAGAGGCAGAGGCACAGGTTGGCCCTTGATGCTCAAGGACTGAATGTCGATGAATACGATATGATACGTTTGATGCGTGCGTGTGTGTGCGGGTGGAGGGGGCAATGTTTGTCGATGTATCTTTCTATGTGTGTGTGTGTGTGGGTTGTTGGTGTGCATGTGAGAGAGTGTAAATATGTCTCTTATATGGCAAACGCAAGACTATTACATTCGGGCAAGAGGAGGAGCATTTCAAACAGTTGAATATATGGCTTACCGAATTTATTATATTTAAGCTTTTGTTGGAGCATTAAGGGACTTTTTAGTCTAATATAATAGGCAATTAAAATTAAAATATTTAGCAGTCTAGAAGAAAGACAAACGTATGCTGGCTAGGAGCATAGAACTCAAACTGCTCTGTACCTTGATTGAATGGTAGAGACATTATAAATGCACAGTGAACGATATACCCGATATAAAGATATGATAGAGATCAATGATAAACATATTTATATATCTATAGAACATATACCAATCCAGTCGTTGATCATTCTCAAACCAGTGCAGCTTAACGTACATTCGTCAGGTTTTCTCACACTTACATGCATATATCATCTATCTCAGATTGAAGAGCAGCCAAGGACCGACGTATATCATACTGAACCACTTGATAGTAGTGAATTGTTTCCGGTTCGCTGTTTTTGGTTTATTCGAGTTTTGGTTTTTGGTTATTTTTWTCTCTCTCTCTCTCTCTTTTTTTTTTTTTTTTGCCACTCCCTTGAGTTTTTCATGTTGATTGCGTTTGAATTTCCGCTGGCTGTTCCGATATAGCTATGCCTGCCATTCATCGATGTTTTTCTTTTTCATTTTTTTTTATTCTCGATTTTGTTTTTCCTTTTTGCGAAATTGAATGAATTTGAGGAATACACAAATCTGAAGAGCGCGCAGCCACGCTGCGTCTTTGACACAGTCACACGGGCGCAAATAGACTAACAAGGTGGAGCGTGTGGGGGCGAGGGCGTGGCTGTTGCATGCTCGATGATACACAGCATGCGGTATATATGGTGTATATATATGGTGTATGGCATGCGGTGTATGGTATATGGTATATGGTGTGTGGTGTGTGGTGTGTGGTGTGTGGTGTGCGGTGTGTGGTGTCTGATGTATGGTGTATATGGGCTAGCCGTGCTGCTACAAACATGTTTGCATTTCAAATTCGACCGTCAGTTCCTTTCAGAGCGACCGTAGGCAGCATGCGAAATTGGAGGCCACATACGAATACGAATACGAATACGAATGCGAAAACGAATGCGAAAAAGGCCCGAAATAAACGCAATCACAAAGAAAGCAGATGGTGGGGAGAGACGGGGCTGGCTAAATGTCTGGCTGACTCTCTGACTGGCTGCCATCGTGTTTGCTCCTGTAAATTGAGCACCCCGCTCAGTAGGCGGCTGACGTGAGTTTATTAACGTTTGGTTTGGGCGCCAGCCAACATTTTCGACTCAATGACAGCAAACATTTACATTTTGCATGTTGTCAGCGCTCGATTCACTAACGCCCCCATTTCGGCCAGCCCATTCTGAGAAGTCTTTCCACTCTGCCCACTCCATCACCCACCCTCTCACGCTCTCTCACTCTCTATGTGTGTCTCTGCCCTGACCCCTTTTCACTTTTGAATGCAGAGCCTTTGTACCTGAGGATTTACTTAGCATCAAAGTTCTTCGTTACTTTTGCACCTTTCTTGCTGCTATGCTGCTGCTGCTGCTGCTGGGCTGTCAATTGATAAGACCCACTGTATATTTGTATTTCAAAGCCAGCCAATATTTATTCAGGTCTAGTCAAGCGGCAACTTTATGTGAACAAAAAATAAAGTTTTTCGTTTTTCACAATCCAATTGACATCTCTTGACTTCGAAGACTAAATGAAATTGTCTTGTGCATTTTCATTATTAAGTGAGGCAGAAAAAATTAAACTAGAAATAAAAACTTAATTGAGTTTAATCTTGCGTAAAATTAACTTAAAAGGCCGAATTTATTATGATCTTTCTCGGTCTAAATGTCTTTCACCTAGAATACCATTATAGTTTATATAACAGTCATTCTACTGCAGCTCAATAGTCAAGACACACGCCGTTTTCGATCTTAGGCAAGTAGCAAAGCTTAAGCCTATGCACAAACCACAGCCATGACATGAGCTCAGTTCGATCTAGCTGCAGAAATAAAGGGCGTCAACGCTTAAGCCTGTGCACGAACCACAGCTAAGACACGAGCCCACTGATCAGAGCAAGGCCAAAAGAGTGGATTCCGCGCAGAGCATGTCAAACTGTGGCTCGCATCAACGAAGGTATCAAAAATAATGCTCAAACTTTTGCTATTCTTATCTTCCCCTTATAAAGCTTCCTCTATAAAGCTGTGCTCTTCACAAACTAGTTATCAAATCAGAATATTCTTACTGGAAACAAAAATGCTAACTAAAAAACTTCTATACAAATACATATGTACATATACATATACATATACCTATATCTACATATACTTAAAATGCATTTGTGATTACTCAGATGTTGATTGTAATTAAGCCCCATTTAAGAGCCTATGGAGCACTGTTTAGACTCATAATTTAAAACGCGGCAATAAAAACAATAACACGGTCAAGTAAATAAAACTCGACAGCTGTTTATCGACTTGGGAATCTTTTGTCATCAATTGAATTGTGTTTAATTGGAGTGGGAGCCACGTCTGCTGCACTGAGCGATGGGTATGCAGGTGCCAGCGGAGTCGCGGGCAAAGCCTTTGTTGCAGTAGCAGCCGTCGGGGCAGCGAATATGCCTGATCAGGCAGGGCTGGTTCAGCGTAGCGCACTCCGTCTGGCAACTGGGACCGCAGGGCAGAAATGTCTCATTGGCCGGACATGCGCGAGGCGCTGCAAAGGATTAGCAAGCAGCTTGCATTAGCATTAGGCCAAGCGCCGCGCCCTTCCAACACTTACTGATGGCCACCTGGGCAGCTACCAAGGCCAAAAGGCAGACACCAAGCAGCAGGCACTGAGCACTGAGCACTTTGCACGCAGACATCTTTCGGGCTTCTCTTGATTTCCTGAAATGTTTCCAGTCGCAGCACTCGTTGGGAACTGAACTGATTTGCATGAGTCGAGCGTGCTTTAATCAAGATGTTTAACCAAGATAGTATTGAGTTGCTCGCTGGGGAAGCACCTGACCAGACAATGAGTCATATAAACATTTTTATTGTGCTGAGCCCACAAAGTATGCTACAAAGTCTGAGAAATAGGCATGATATTGAAATATGTGTAAATATAAAACATTTAAATATAT